TTGGCCCTTGGTTTCAGTAGACACTAGAAAAGCTGTCATGCCTGGAGAGAGAAGTATGAAGAGATTCTCCCTCTTAACATCAGGAACCAACTTTGGGAGAAAATGTACCCTTTTGTTCAGGACACTTGGACTCTGCTTAAACCAGGACTTCTGCAATTATTCTACCTTCTTAAACTTCTTTCTTTTATCTCTCTGTTGTGTTATTGCTCTCTCTATTTATATATATATATATATATTGGTTACATCTTTTCTGTAAATGTTTTTATTGCACCATTTTGACCTTTTTAGTAATAAATCCTATTTTCTGAAAAGTGTTGAACTGTTTCTAAAGCTCTTTAATGCAAACTAAGAATCCCTGTCTCTGAAGAGTGCTACTGTGTGTTTTAAAACCTCTTGATACATCTGTCTGCGGTGACAGTGTGTATACAGACGCTTATTCAAACATCATATTGTTACTGCTGAGATTTGTGAGTTTTCTCCTTCTCTGTAAAAAGGTGGTGGTGGCAGTGTGAAGGGTTAATTGCGTAACTTAACCTGACCCAGTAACAATCGCTCTCAGGCGGCTGGCACATAGATTGTGGTCCAGTGAGCTGGAAAATCTCTGTGCAGGGTGCAGCTGAGAGTGGCATTGTTACGCAAGTGGCAGCGCAGTTTTAGATTGGCTAGTCCTTCGGTCACAAGTCAGTGAGAAGGGCTGGGGGTCTGACACCACTCCTGTCACAGCCACCACATCTAATGTTTGGTAAGCTGTAATATACAATGCATCCAGAAAGTATTCACAGGGCTTAACTTTTGCCACATTTTGTTATGTTACAGCCTTATTCCAAAATGGATTAAATTCATTTTATACCCCATTCAATACCTCATAATGACAACGTGAAAGAAGTTTGTTTTGAAATCTTTGCAATTTATTAAAAATTAAAAAAATTTAAAAAAAAAAAAACACATGTACATAAGTATTCACAGCCTTTGCAATCACACTCAAAATTGGGCTCTGGTGCATCCTGTTCCCACTGATCATCCTTCAGATGGTTCCACAACTTGATTGGAGTCCACCTGTGGGAAATTCAGTTGATTGGACATGATTAGGAAAGGCATAAACCTGTCTATATAAGGTCCCACAGTTAACAGTGCATGTCAGAGCATAAACCAAGCCATGAAGTCCAAGGAATTGTCCGTAGACCTCCGAGACAAGATTGTATCAAGGCACAGATCTGAGGAATTGTACAGAAAAATGTCTGCAGCATTGAAGGTCCCAATGAGCACAGTGGCCTCCATCACCTGTAAAGTTTGGAACCATCAGGAATCTTCCTAGAGCGGGCTGCCCAGCCAAAATGAGCGATCAAGAGACAAGGGCCTTAGCCAGGGAGGTAACCAAACACCCAATGATCACTGAAAGAGCTCCAGCGTTTCTCTGTGGAGAGAGGAGAACTTTCCAGAAGACCAACCATCTCTGCAGCACTCCACCAATCAGACCTGTATGGTAGAATGTCCAGACGGAAGCCACTCCTCAGTAAAAGGCAAATGAAAGTCCGCCTGGAGTTGCCAAAAGGCACCTGAGGGACTCTCAGACCATGAGAAACAAAACTCTCTGGTCTGATGAAACAAAGATTGAACTCTTTGGCCTGAATGCCAAGTGTCATGTCTGGAGAAAACCAGGCACCACTCACCACCTGGCCAATACCATCCCTACAGTATAGCATGGTGGTGGCAGCATCATGCTGTGAGGATGTTTTTCAGCAGCAGGAACTGGGAGATTAGTCAGGATCGAAGGAAAGATGAATGCAGAGACATCCTTGATGAAAACTTGTTCAGAGCGCTCTGGACCTTAGACTGGGGCAATGGTTCAACTTTCAACAGGACAACGGCCCTAAGCACACAGCCCACATAACAAAGGAGTGGCTTCGGGCCAACTCTGTGAATGTCCTGGAGTGGCCCAGCCAGAGCCCAGACTTGAACCCGATTGAACATCTCTGGAGAGATCTGAAAATGGCTGTGCACCGACGCTCCCCATCCAACCTGATGGAGCTTGAGAGGTACTGCAAAGAAGAATGGGAGAAATTGCTGAAAAATAGGTGTGCCAAGCTTGTAGCAGCATACTCAAAACGACTTGAGGCTGTAATTGGTGCTAAAGGTGCTTCAACAAAGTATTGAGCAAAGGCTGTGAATACTTATGTACATGTGGGGTTTTTTTTTCTTTTTAATAAATTGCAAAGATTTCTTTTTATTATTATTATTATATCTTTATTAGTTTTATAATACAAACTCCACATTATATCAAACATCATGAAACACAAAACACCATTTTTACTTCATTCCCCATCTCTCCTGTTTAGCCCCCCCTTTCTCGTCCGGTAGCGCTGATCAGAGCGCCTCACTGTGTCTGCTTTTTAATATTGCTGCTATTCGTTCTACTGCTGCTTCTATTCACCTTATCATCATTTATTATTTATTTATCTATATTCACGTTTTAGAAGTATTTAATTTGATTCATTCATTACTTTAGCGCTGCACCTTTTATATTTCACTTCTAATTTGTTGATTACTTGGGCTTGTTTCTCAATTTCCCATCCGTTTCTTCCACTTGAGACAGGACTTGTCCCATTTTTGTCACTTTTTATGGCATTCTCTAATTTAGCAAACATTTCTACCATTTCCAATTTTGTGGCCATTTGTGGCCTTACTTTTTGCTCCTCCATATTCCTTTCCCCCCTTTTGCTCTCCAACTTTGAAAATTCTTTCAACTGATTCCTGTCCAATACTTCAAAAGACAATCTCATTTGATCTCCTATGCAATTTGCTTCACCATGACTTTCTGGGGTTTGTTCTTCTGGGCTTTTCTCATGCAAAGGCATATACTTCTTTATTGTGCTTGTATTTAAATTTGGTTGGGGGGTTTTTGCTTCTCCTCCTTTTACAGATCTACTCTTCATATTCTTAAAGTTGAACAGTTACTTATAGCTCCAGGTAGAAATGTATTTCCAGTTTCCCCAGGTCCTTACACCCAACAATGATCTCACTTAGTGTCTTTCCCCTCCTAATCTTTATGAGGGTTAGATTTCTCTTTTTGTTCCCTTCTTTTCCTTTTCCACCTTACACTTCCTGGGTGCCCCCTCCTTTTTTCACATAAACTTGTTTTCATAAAGTTGCATTTAGCCTCTGAGACACCTCAGCTCCTTTTATTATGTTCACCTTTCTCCCAGCAACGACAGTAGCATACATGACCTCAGCATTGGGGATTTACCACCTCCTGTGGCAACTTATCTGCTCCTGTGTCCTGCATCCACCAGCTGGACGTCAACTGCTGGTTGTTGTCTTCAGGGGTCTCAGGAAATCTCCTTTGGTGTTCAGGGGCTCCCCGGCCCGATGGCCTCCACCTCAGGTCAACTCTTTCGACCCCGGGACCGGCTTCCATACAGCTCTGGCCGGCATCCCAAGTTCCCAGGCTTCCTTGCCCTGGTCACCTGATTGATCATGCGGGTCTACTCAGCGTCCTCCACTCTTCTGCCATGTCTCTCTCCGTGCAGCGACTCACGGGGTTCCCTCCAGCGGCACAGGTCCCAGGCTTCACCAGACCCGCAAGCACACCGGGCACAACCCAGGCTGTGATGGGTCTCTCTCCCCCTTCAGCCACTCAGCAACCCACGGGGGTCTCCAGACTGGGAACATCACAACAATGCAGCAAAGCCTAGAGATCAGATGAGTACCATTGCTGGCGTCAGGAGCTCCTATCTCATGTGGCCGCAGAGCGTCATGCTCACATCCCTCCCCCTGCAAAGATTTAAAATGAACTTCTTTCATGTTGTAATTATAGGGTATTGTTTGTAGAATGTTTAATCCATTTTGGAATAAGGCTGTAACATAACAAAATGTAGCAAAATTAAGCACTGTGAATACTTTCTGGATGCACTGTAGTACATTTTTGGATTTGGGTGTATTAGCTCTTGAATCAATTTTTAGCTGACCCAACAAAAATACGACCTTTATGGCCAACTGTAAAACCTTAGCACTGTTTCACAAATTTAAACAACCACAAATCAAAATTTGAGGGAGTTTTCAGAAAATCTTTCCTTTCCATAGCTTGATTTAGGCTAGGTTTACACCAACAGGTGCGACCAAGCCCACGTGCATTTCCACATGTTGTGTGTAGGGCAGTCCATTCATTTCAATGGTCTGCCTTATACTCGAAAAAACGTGGCCCTTTTTCAAAAACGTGGAACACCAAACCACATTATGCTGCGTCAACATGCATTTTGGTGTATGTTAACAGATGCATGGGGGTGCCATTAACAATTAATGGCATCGCCGCATGTCTGCAGTGAATTTCTGTGAGGCTCAGGACAGTGCACAATTTTGAATGCATTCCTGACATACAGAGATGTGAATATAGCCTTAGGAATGTACGTAATTTATCTTAACAACACCTAACGACTTCGTAGACCACACCCCCACATACCTCTCTGCTTTTGTTCACATTGACCATATTGCTTGGTAACAATCGTATGGCCACAATGGTATTCTTTCCCATTGAGAAATAATTTTGCCAAATATCTGCCAGATTATCAGCCAATTTACAATCATCTTCACACGCAAAACTAATTGATGCGAAAGGTCATCTAATTTTCATCAAATCAGGTGCAAAATCACCCCGTAAATGTCCAGCCATGTTTTCTTTTCACTTGCTATTAGATAGTAGCATGTCAGCTGTTTGTCCATACTGCAGTACAGGACCAGTTTCTGAACGATTGGCTTTAGTTTTATTAAGTCTGTATCCTTAAAGCAGCATTAACCCCCCCAAAAAAATATAATATATTGGTGCAAATCAATTCTTAGATGTGTTGGTGGTATTTGTTTCCTTTTTTTAGCATTTTCCCTTTATTTTCATTCATTTTCTTTTCTTCTTCAGCCAACTGCAATTGAAAACTGTCCAACAGAAAAGCTTACAAATCTGATGCATCATTGAAACATTTTGCTGAATAAGACATCAGAGGTCATCAAACATGGCATCAGAGGTCCTCTCTCTTTCCCAGGTGCCAATGCGGGCCTCAACTCAGCAGTCACAATCCCCATTTGACACTGGAGACAGACTCTTGAAACCACTTCAGAAGAATCAGCTAAGTCTTGACAGTATGAAGATGCTAGAACCTGGTCGAAAAAAACTGAGCTCAGTGGAAACCCAGAGGGTGGTGGCAGTACTTGATGAGACAATCAAAAACCTTGAACATGTCAGTCTTTTTCAGCATGCAATTGAAAACCTGGAGAGATACAGTATAGTGTTTGGCTCTGAGCTGATGGGAGCTTTGAGGGAGCACCACAGACTGCAAGTTAACATGCAGAGACAACTTAGTCACTTGAGTAAAGAATCAACGGAAGAAAAGGGAATGCAAGGATTGCTGTGGGGAAAAACAAATATGGTGGATAGGGCTCACATGAATTTTCTAACACTTCGTCAAGGAGTTCAAAGTTCAGTAAGAAATATCTTGAGGTGGTTCTTGGCTAACCCTACTGCCAGTAAAGCACTGAGATCCGAAGGACAAATAAGAGATCAGGCTTTCCAGAAACTCATCCAAAGCCTTTCAGAGTTGAGAGGATTTCTTTTTGAGATGCTCCTGACCAGCCCTCTTGAACAGAAAGAGAGGATTCACTTCCTCCAGGAGATCACAGTCCGTGACCATAAGAACAGGGAGGCTTTGTCAGCTTTAGAAGAGGAGCTTAATGCAGCTATTTTTGATCGTGACACTGAGGTATGCAATTAACAGAGAACTTAAAAAAGGTATTTAGCAGATATGTACGTCCCTTCGGGAATTTTGTTTTCTTACTATTATGGGATTGATTCATTTTCTCATTGAGGTTTCATAGACTTTGCCTGATTGAAACCTGGATGAAGTACAGTGGTTTAGTGGTTAGGTAGCACTCCTGCCTTGCAATATAATGTGGGTTTTTGGTTAAACTTTCAGCCAGGACACTACAAGCATGGAGTTTGCATGTTCTCCCTGTCTTTGTGTGAGTTTTCTCCCACATCCAAAGACATGCAGGTAGCTATATTGGTCCTGGTATGTGTGTGTGTAAATATATATGTGTATGTATGTGTGTGTGTGTGTGTGTGTGTGTGTGTGTGTGTATGGACCTTGAATTGTAAGCTAATTTAGGGCAGGGACTGACAGGAATGTAGAATATGTAAAGTGGTGCATAGACATGTGCAGTTTGTTTAGTTTTGAATCGAATCTCCGACATCTTTTTAGTTATTGGGAGATTTGGATGTATCCGAATTTCCAAATTACATTAATAACAAATTTAAATGAATCCCAAAATAACTAAACAAAACTTTGTCCAAAATTCAAATTCAAATCGAATGTGAATCTAATTAAAAAATTAAATCTAATTTGAAATCAAAATCAAATTTGAAAACTAGAATAGAGTAAAATAGAAAAAAAGGAATAGAAAAGAATACAATAGAAAAAAATAGAATAGAAAATAAAATAATAGAATAGCATAGAAAATGATAGCATAAAACAGAACAGAATAGAACAGGAAATTAAAAAATAGAATAAAATAGAATAAAAAAAAGGTAATAGAATAGAAAATAAAATAATAGAATAGAAAAGAATGGAGTAAAACAGAATAGAATAGAAATTAGAAGAATAGAATAAAATGGAATAGAAAATAAGGGAATAGAAAATAATAGAATAGAGTAGAATTGAAAATAATAAAATAGAACATAGCCACCTTCCAAAATTCGAATTTTCTAAAAGAATAGAATAGAAAAGAGTAAAACAGAGCAAAAAATAATAAAATAGAACAATAGAATAAAATAGAATAAAATAGACTATAACTGTCTTCCAAAATTTTAATTTTAAATAGAATAAATTTGAATGGCAGTTCAGTACTTTTTTTTTGAATTTTGTGAATTTGGTCTAATTGAATTTAATTCAACCAAATTTGTAAAATCGAATCAAATTCAAAAACAAATACACAAAACAAAACTAAACGAATTTCAAAAACAAATTAAGCTAATTTACCTATGATTTCAATAATGAAACAAAATAAAAAAAATTTCTGATATATATATATATATATATATATATATATATATATACCCATAAGAAATAAAAATAAAGAAAAAACAATTGTAACAATTTCAGCCAGTACTTTAAAACAAAAAGTTTACATTGAACAGAAAACTAAGAAGCATGTAGGCCACAACTCCTGACCTCCTTCTGAAAATGCTAGTTGCCTGGCTATCATACTGATTTTCCGGGTTCAATACTTTTAGAGTTGCTGGCCTGAAACAAGTATGCAGATCAGGGCCGGATTTCAAAATCACTTCACTTGTTTCATACATCTGCACACTGGTTCAGAGACTCAGATAGTATTGACAGAGACAGCCAGGCATCTAGCTTTTTCAAAAGATTTCAGCAATGAAAGCCCACTTATCCTTTCCATGACAGGGTTCCTTTAAGATGGTACGTCTACCTTTCAATAAATCTTGTCAAACATGCATGAGTTATATTTTAAATAAATTTAAAACAATCCAAAATATAGTGTTTTCAAGACAATAAAGAATTACTTGTTGTAAAATGTAATTATATGGGAATATTTCCCACTAAACCCACAACAGTAAAATTAGTCTGTATATGCAGTAAAGCATGCTTGTTATTCTAACTGTGGAACCTCTGTATTGTTTAAAAACACTGTTTGATCCTGTTTTCTCTGATTCTCCCCTTTTCCAGTGTCCCCCTCTTATCTTCTGATAAGACATATCTTGTGGAGTCACTCTGCACATGCTCAGTTTGGTGTGAATTGCTAGAGAGGTTTTTTTTTTTCTTGGGAGAGTGCATGTGATCAGCATAGGGCCAATCAGCATTGTGCAGACAGAGGTCAGCAGTTCTGCATCCTCCTAGCGCAAAATTAAAACTTCTACAAGCTGTATCCAGTGCTCTGCTGAACACTGATAGAAGTCACAAGACTGCTCTAACTGCTGGGGAGAAAAGGTATTTAGCAGTTTATATTTACTAAAATAATTGCATTTCCATGTTCAGTGTACTGTGGGAGACCAGATATAGTGAATGCACGATCCTGGGTTTAGTAACACTTTAAACTGATTAAGGCTGCCCATACATTATAGAATTATCTGGAGATTTTTGGTTTAGTTTTACCAAAAACCATATAATAGGAGGACAAACCTAAACAACACTTTCAGTTGTATCCAATTAGGCAGGCCCTTGCACTACACAGTTGAAGGTAAATCTAAATGAAATTGGGCAGAAAATTGGAAGATAATTGTATAATGTATGGCCAGCCTAAGACTCCATGCACACCAGGCTTAAAATATGCCAGTTCCCTTGGCAGAAAAAAAAAACACTTTTATAGAGCATTTTCGTACACGTTTAGGCCCATTTAGGAGTGATTTAGCTTTTTTTCTGCTAGAAAACTGCCAAAATGCAAACCAGAAGGTTTTTGTTTTCTGCCTGTAAATATCCAAATGTGCATGGACCCATAGGATTATTATTATACAGGATTTATATAGCGCCAACAGTTTTGCTCAGCGCTGTACATTATAACATTATAATGGGAGACAGTACACAAGACAGTACAGTAACAATACGATTCAATACACGAGGGGATCGAGGGCCCTGCTCCTTGGAGCTTACAATCTAGGAGGGAGGGGAGAGTGGTACAGGTGGAAATAGCTGTGGGGGATGGAGTGGTAGGAAGAGTGGAGGAGTTCTGTAATTAGCTGAGGGCGGGGTAGGCTTCCCTGAAGAGATAGGTTTTCAGAGTGCGCCTAAAGTTGAGGAGAGTAGGTGATAGTCTGATGGATTGGGGTAGGGAGTTCCAGAGGATGGGGGAAGCCCTGGAGAAGTCCTGGAGACGGGCATGGGAGGAGGAGACCAGGGAACTAGAGAGTAGGAGGTCTTGTGAGGAGCAGAGGGTACGTTTTGGGTGGTATTTGGATACCAGATCGATGATGTAGTTTGGGGCAGTATTATGAATAGCTTTATATGTCAATGTTAGTATTTTGAATTTTATCTGTTGGGCAATCAGAAGCCAGTGGAGGGATTGGCAGAGAGGATACAGAGCGGTTAGTGAGGTGGATGAGTCTGGCTGCAGCATTCAAGATAGACTGAAGCGGGGATAGCTTGCGGTGAGGTAAGCCGGTGAGGAGGGAGTTACAGTAGTCAAGTCGTGATATCATGAGGGAGTGAATGAGTTGCTTAGTGGTTTCCGGGGTTAGGAACGGACGTATTTTGGAGATGTTGCGGAGGTGAAGCCTACATGAGTTTGTCAGCGAATGGACCTGGGGCTGGAAGGACAGATTGGAGACTAGGATAATACCTAGTACTCTGGCTTGAGGGGAGGGACTGATGGTGGTGTTGTTCGTCTTGATGGAGAAGTCAGGGGGGGGGGCGGGCTGGGGGAAAAACTAGGAGCTCAGTTTTGGAAAGATTTAGTTTGAGGAAGTGGAGTGACATCCAGTCTGATATGTCACTCAGTAGGCTTGTGATGCGGGCGGAGACTGAAGGGGTGAGGTGAGGGGTAGAGAGATAGATTTGAGTGTCGTCGGCATAGAGATGGTAGTTGAAGCTGTGAGAGTGTATCAATTGGCCAAGGGAGGAGGTGTAGATGGAGAAGAGAAGGGGCCCGAGGACAGAACCTTGAGGGACCCCAACATAGAGGGGGAGTGGGGGGGAGGTGGCAGCATTATAGGTAACACTGAAGGAGCGCTGTGATAGATAGGAAGAGAGCCAGGAGAGAGCGGAGTCTCTGAGGCCAAGAGAGTGGAGTTTTTTGAGGAGGAGGATAACAATGAGCTGCTTCTAAAGGCAAAACACAAAACTCCTGTAGAAGCAGAGTTTTTTAGGCCAGTGTGCATGGACCCTAAGTCAAATTAACTGTATTGGCAAATACAATCATTGACGTACAGTATGTTACTCATTGCAAGTTTTGAATAAATAAAGAAATCATTTAGTTGGACCTAGTGCATTGCTTCTGAGCCCTGTTTTATGCATCCATAAGACACATAGGGGTTTATTTACTAAATCTGGAGAGTCCAAAATCAGACTCACTTCTGCATAGAAACCAATCAGCTTCCAGGTTTCATTGCCAAAGCTTCATTGAACAAGCTGAGGTTAGAAGCTGATTGGTTTCTATGCAGAAGGGAGTCTGATTTTGGACTCTCCAGCTTTAGTAAATAAACCCCATAGAGCCATGGCTCAGCCCTGCCCGCTGATCTCTCCCCATTGGCTCACTACCTGTGATTGACAGCAATGGGAGCCAATGGCTCCTGATGCTGTGTCTCAGCAAATCAGAGGAGAGAGACCCGGGACAGCCAAATCTTCCGTGCACAGTGCTAGATCCAGGGGGGGCTCAGGTAAGTATGGGGGGGAGTGGAGCAGCACACAAAAAGTTTTTTACCTTCATGCATAAAATGCACAAAGGTATAAAACCTTCAGCCTTTACAAATGCTTTACGTTAGAAGTTACGGCTTTATTGAAACCATGTGAGAGGTCTTAATGCTGTAATAAGAAAAAGCTACAGCTTCCACAACCCTTTATGGGTTTAGAAGTCTTAGAAAGCATCTTACCACAAATGAAACTCCTATGTCAGTGTATGCCCATAACTTACACTATACTTTGTGCAGACGTCCGCGAAAAGCAGAAAGCCAAACACACATAAGGGATATGAGCTTTCAGAGATGTCTGTAACATAAATGGTGTGTATACAATGCCCTCATTTACTAAGGTGTTGAAAAAGCAATATTGGTAATTTTTTTTTTTTTTGCGTTTTAGAAAAAGACTGAAATGGGAAAGGCTATTTTAAACAATATACTGTTTGTGTTGCAGTTATGTGCACTGTATCAGGTTTTTTTTTTTGTACCAAATGTGGAGTTTTACTGACACTGTCACTATGTCCAATTTGGTGTCTGGTAGCCCACCCCTAGGGCAGTTATACTTGCCCAACATTGCTCCCATGCTGCCTTTCTGTTCCCATAAAAACCTTTGGTAATGGAGTGCAGCTTTAGGGTATGGGGTAGCATTTACCCTCGTCTATGTGAGAAGGCTTGACCTGAACACAGTCACATGGGGAATTTTTGAAGTCATCTTCTTGTCTAAACTTTGACACCGGAGCATAAACTGGCTGGGATGCTGCAGTACAGAGGTGGTGAAGGAACATGGTAGGTAAATATAAGGCTTCAGACACTGTCACTTTGATGTACTTTGTTTATGCAAAAACACTGTGGGGGGAATTTATCAAAACTGGAGCAGCCAGAATCTGGAGCAGCTGTGTATGCAGCCAATCAGCATTGATTTCAGCTTGTTCAGTTATGCTTTGAAAATGAAAGATAGAAGCTGATTGGTTGTCTTGCACAACTGCTCCAAATTCTGCCTGTTCCAGTTTGGATAAATTCCCCTGCAGGTGTAGGTGTTCCATTCCTGTGCCAGCTGCATTTGCCAGTGTATGTATGCTCTGTCTAGGCACTTTAATCCTAAGCACTTTCTTATATCATTTGCTCAAATTTTATTAGTATTGAGGTTTCAAAAAATGCAATACGTATTACAATACAATAAATATTCTCAGTGCAATTGTACCTAAGCAAAAATGTGTATTGTTTTCTTTTTTTTATTGTTCTGACCTGACCTCTCATCTGAATTCTTTGCCCTTGTAAAGATTATCTATATCACCAGTAGCTGTGACCACAACAAACTACGCTCCTACCTATTGCCATGGTCATTTGCTTTGGCTTGCTTTCACTTGACAACTGTGGGACTGTGACCTATAGGTGTTACAAAGTGTTATTTATATTCCTTGTCCTTGCAGTTCTTAGTAAAGATCAGTCCTTTGTTAAACTCCACTTCTCAGAGAGACCCATTGCTACCAATGATGACACAAAGAATCCTTTCAATAGCAGTTCACACCATGCATCTCACTGATGGTCCCTTGCTTTTTACCATATAAGAACTGGCTTTCTGAGTCAAGCAACAAAAGATCAGTCAGGAAAGTATAAGGGCTCATGTGCACGGGGCATCTGGAAAAACACTTCTGAACGAATGAAACTGACTGTTGAAAAACGTAGGTTAAAAAATGTCAGTTTATGCGCGTTTGCGTTTAGAAGCGTTTTTAAAAGATAACCTCAGCAGACATTCCCAAATACCCAGAATGCACTGAAAAATTGTAAATAAATAACTATTTCAGACATTTTGAGAGGAATAGAGAGAGCAGAGTGTGTTGAGATTACCTGTCTTTTCTGGTTGTATTCACTATGGATCCCATCATGAGCATAATGCAGCACGTTCTACTTTTTTTTCCTGCACACAAAACCTGGAACTGACTGTGCTGGTGTACTAGGTCCATTTGAATACATGGAAAATGCTTTGCATGCATTTCTGATGATGAAAAAAGGCTCTGGACAGCATCCGGACATGGAACAGTTAAAAAACCACTTCTAAACGTGGTTAACCATGTTTACCAGCGTTTACATGCGTTGCAAGCGCTTGGCATTTGAAGCGCTGGTAAAGTCTACTCCTGAATGCAAGTTTGATTCATTCAAAAAAACTACTGTAAACTCAACTGCCTGTAAACAACTATGTGTACATGGACACATAGGAAAACATTAGGGAGAGTTTAGGGGCTGCTGAAAAAAAACACTGAACAGCTCCTGAACATCAGTTTAGCAGCTGCAGTGTAAATGAGCCATAATCCTCCCCCTTGTGAGTCAAGTGAATCCGTTTCAACCCTCTGAAGCTCCCCTTCCATCAGGATCAAAAGTTTGTTTGGCTGTCACTCCCATACTATCACCCATGTTGCATTTTGTGCCACATTACAGTAATGGTGCCCATGGTTATCCATGCATTTTGACTATTGTCTGATCCACTTCAAGCTGAATCAGTGGAACATTTTGTATGCCAAGAATACACACATTCTTTTGCTGCTGTCCTTTTGCCTGTCCATTTCCACTTAATTAGGAAGATATTCATTGTCTTTATGATTTTTCTACATTCCTTATGGCCTTTGAATTCAAATTGCATGCTCTTGATCACACCACAGTTGACGCAAAAAGGATTGAGGATTATAAGAGCACCACTATTCATGTGTACCTAGGACAGCATGGTTTCCTGTCTGAGAGAATCATGCATTAAAACCCATACCTGCTTACAGAAGTAATTTGCTTATAATTAAAACTAGGTCTTCCCAAAACGAATATCTATGCCGTGGGTGGTACCTGGTAGGAACTCAATGAATGATTCAGCATGCCTTCATTTGTTGAAAACATTATGGCATTACTGGCTAGAGAACTAACTGACTTGTAAAGTGCTACCATGCCACTAAATTGTTTGAAATTTTAAAATTCTGTTTAACAGATCAGATGTTTTTTCCCCCTGTGTAGATTGCAAAGCAAAATGAGGTTATCCGGCAGTTGAAGATCAGTTTACATCAGCTGGAGAAAATTTCGGAGAGCCAAGTGAGACGTACAGTGCAAGAGGCAGAGAAGCAGCAGAAGTCTGACCACCGTGCCTCAGAAGGGAAGTGTACAAAGCTCCAGCAGGACCTGCAGCAACTAAGATCACAGCTTAATGGCGCAATTGCTGAAAACCGTGAGGTTGAGCTAAGCCTCAGAAAGGTGTAGTTATGTGTTTGTCTTTTTTAACTCCTTAAAATAAAATTGTAAAGAAAACATGTAACCACCAGCCTGAAAGACCTAATTTAAATAAGTATGATTATATATTGATTATATAGTCAGTGAAATGCCAGTGCCACCTAAAAAGCACTTTAGATGTTCTAAAGTCATAGACTATTCATTTATACCTTTACCACTGAAGTCAAGGCAGATAAAAATTAGCCTTTTAAGATAGATGTGTATTCGTGTACAAATAATCAAATGTAGTTTACTTACAACTCTTTAAAGCACCTGAATCTGTCTTGAAAGGCTCTGTCATCCTTTGCAGAGCAACCTAAGAAGCAAATCAGGCTGTGCTGCATGTACATATGGTCACAGCCAGGGGCGGACTGACCATTTGGAAACTCGGGCACAGCCCGAGGGCCCGGGGTCAGTAGGGGGCCCCATGAGATGGCCCTGGTACCTTTTCATAGGCTTTTTTGAGTTTGGGCAAGGACACAGGGGCCCCATGATCCCCTATTGCCCGGGGGCCCCATGAGTTGTCAGTTCACCCCTGGTCACAGCATACATTTTCATTTTATAACATTTGCATTATAATACCAATTCACACAATAGTTATTGTTGACAATCCAATATCAGCTTAAGCGGAACTTTACCCATAACAGTTTAATACCAATTATTGCTCTTTAACCAAAGAAGATGCATTCTTCGATAATATCTATGCTAGAAAAAATAGTGTTTGCTGTAAATTGCCTTCAGAATCGCTCTTGTTTCTTATCGCTGGAGGTTGCCATTTTGAAGCCCAGAGCAGTCACTTCCTTATTGGAAACTCTCCCCCTCTCCTTAATCTAAAAAAATATATGTCAATTTCTTCAACTAAAATATGTATATTTCCAAATATAGTGAAAAAACTCCTGCGCCTACTATGAGCTAAAAATAAATAAAATATGCATGTTTAGTAGTGACTGCCACTATATGTGCTGCTGCTAACATCAATTATGTTCCCACAATGCAATATAAAAATTAGTAGTGTATGATGTAGTGCTGCTGGCAGGGAATTGTTGATAATGAAAACATAAACATCAATTAATCGAAAGCTAAACAACCATGGTGAATAAACTCATGACAAAAGTGTTTGATAATGAATAAATATATAAAATATAAATAAATATATAAAGTTCATTCAATTCCAGAAATTGCATGATCCGACACCACAAAATATAGATCCGTGATTCACGTGAATTTCATGCCACCTCAGTGCTCTCAGAACTCTCACTTTCAATGCGTATTGTACTGCGTATTTATAGCTATATATACCAGTCTATAAGCAGCAGCGGCAATTATAGACTGGTCACTTCCTAAGTTGTGGGTTACTGCTATGATGAAAAGTTCAAAGTAACAAGCTGAACGACTATGTAGATGACCACTGAATCCTGTTGTACAGGTTACTATTACCATCCTAAATGGTGGAATCCTTAAAGCTATCCTAACGTCTACTAGAGGGGAGGAGTGGACAGTCCCCAGTGGCTGGAGGAGATAGAGACCAATAATGGCGATATTTCTATAAATGCGCAGTATAATACGCATTTGAGGTGAGAGTTCTGAGAGCACTGAGTTGGCACTTTAATGTATGACACATAAGTAGATTAGGTGGTGTAGCGCCAATACCATGTGATAATAGACATAAAAAATTAATAAAGGACTCGATATTAAATGGGTGAATACATAAATTATATGAATAAATATATAGGTATACAATGGTGCACCTAATGTGTAGCCCAAAAACATGCCATCAAGAATGTGACTAAATATAAGTGATAGGTGATATAAGTGAAACAAATTTTAACCAAATATAAATACATGTGATTATAAATGAACAATATTCATAAATCATATAGCACAAAGTCCCAAACGTATAACTGTGATTAATCAATCTTTGACCGTGAAAATTATTACGTGCTCAAGTGCATTAGACCATCTGTCACCGTCTAGCGTGCATGCTTACCTCCAATCTTTGACCTTCAAGGAGTCATAAGGCATAACAGATCACCATTTAGTCCCAGGTGGGATGAATCTCACTCTCTGGATGGACACAGGATCAGCTTCCACACAGCCCACGGTTAATCAACCAGTACAATGGTAAGGCACCTTTACAAAACTCCTCCACTCTCCCAATGACTCATAAACAGGGAATCAGAGAAAAAGCCACCATAGTGTAAGAAAGTAAAGTTTATTATACCATGCACAAATGCCAAAGACCTACTCACACATTAAAATCGGGTCATAGACCCACCAGGTATGAACTGTATAACCCACAGTCAGTGTGCTTGCATAGGGAGTCCAAAGATGGCTGCCGTCCATGCGTAATTGCGTCACCATGCTGTAGTCCGACATGTTGCGTCACGATAACACGTGACTTCTCCAGGGATTTATCCACGTGTTATCGTGACGCAACATGTCGGACTACAGCGTGGTAATTGTAATGGTTGATTAACCGTGGGCTGTGTGGAAGCTGATCCTGTATCCATCCAGAGAGTGAGATTCATCCCACCTGGGACTAAATGGTGATTTGTTATGCCTTATGACTCCCTGAGGGTCAAAGATTGGAGGTAAGAGTGCACGCTAGACGGCGACAGATGGTCTGATGCACTTGAGCACGTACTAATTTTCACGGTCGAAGATTGATTCATCACAGTTATACGTTTGGGACTTTCTGCTATCTGATTTATGAATATTGTTCATTTATGATCACATGTATTTATATTTGGTTAATATTTGTTTCACTTATATCACCTATCACTTATATTTAGTCACATTCTCGATGGCAAGTTTTTGGGCTACACATTAGATGCACCACTGTACACCTATATATTTATTCATATAATTTATGTATTCACCCATTTAATATCGAGTCCTTTATTCATTTTTTATGTCTATTATTACATGGTATTAGCGCTACACCACTTAATCTACCTATGTTTCATCCATTGTAGTCTAGTTAGGTGTCAGCAGCTTCTTCGTTTTTATATCTTTGGCAGTGCATGAGTCCACCCCCCTTTACTTTAATGTATGAAATTCACATGAAGCACGGATCTATATTTTGTGGTGTCGGATCACGCAATTTCTGAAATTGAATGAACTTTATATATTTATTCATTATCAAACAATTTTGCCAAGAGTTTATTCATCATGGTTGTTTAGCATTCAATTGATGTTTATGCTTTCATTATCCACAATTCCCTGCCAGCAGCGCTACATCACACACTACTAATTTTCATGTATATTTCTAGCCTTGATTGTATGTCTTAGTTCAGAAGATAGAGAGGGGTGCTGACAGAAGCTGTATAGTGCTAAAGTTCACAAGCTGCTGCTGCCAGGGTAGAAAGGAGAGAGACATCAGGAAGATAAGATAAGACACTATCCTTGTAAGCTTAACTCTTTTGTGTCTCCCTAATTTGTGTGCCATTCACACAGTCTGTCATTCTTGATGCTTTCTTCCTTCTTCAGCAACAGTAAGGCAGGCCATATATGATTGATTTTCTTTCGTTCAACCACCTATACATGCAGAAGGGGCCAACATGAAGTGATCTCTCAGAGTGTTATTAAACCCACAACAGTAAAATCAGTTAGTGTATGCAGTGAAGCATGCTTGTTATACTCACTGTGGAACTTAAGGGGTTAATCCTCTGCATTGTGTAAAAAGGCTGTTTGATCCTGTCTTCTCTGATCCTTCCCTTCTTTTGCTGTCCCCAATCTATCTAGCATAGTTATAGCAGCAGTGGCAAGTCTGCACATTTTCTGTTTGGTGTGTATTGCTAGAGAGTTTGTTTTTTTTGGGGGGAGGGTGCATGCGATCATCACAGGACCAATCAGTGCTGTCCAGGTAGAGGGTCAGGGGTTATGCAGCCTCAGAGGGCAGTCAGAAAAGAATTAAATCATCAAATGACGAAACGCATAGGGTGGGGCCTGGATGTGGCGTCACCACGCACAGCGAGTTGAATGTATTTGATTTTATGAATACAGTGGTTTTATTCTATGGGAGCTTTCCTTTTTCTTCCTCCTTCTGGGAATTACATGAGATAAAAGGAACATCCAGTGGAATTGAGTGGCTGAGGAAAGGATCGTTATTACTGCAGATCATTACTCCCAGAGTTCATGAGTTCATGTTGGTTTTTATGTTACCAGCCTGGAGCTCTGGTGAGTCTATTTAATTCATCCGGTGGTGATAGAGCACATATTTGCTGATATATATTAAGAAGACACGTGGAATTTGATATTTATCTCTGAGGTGGACATTCATACATTTTATTGATCTGGCAACATGTTGTCACGAATGCTATATGAATTGGATACTAAATTTATTGGACATTAGCACTTTGTGTATAGGATTTGTATACATACTGTATATACAGTATGAATTGATTGTTCACTTTTTTTATATGCGTATTTTTCATATAATTGTTTGTGCATAGTATTTTGAATTATATAAGCAAAGTTTTTGATTATTATTTGCACTTTAGTACTTGATGGACGTAGAACATGTCTGAGTAAGACAGGTTGGTGAGGTGTTGGGTAGCGTTGTTTCATAATATTTGTTTGCACAATTCTCTCGGGTATTTCACCATAGAAAGAACAGCTGCTTCACCACAGTACTAGAACCCCTATTTTTTCTGCATTGGTGGGGCAATCCGGCATTGGATTTTCTTGTAAAGTTACACTTCACTTGAAAAATCTTCTTTCGTGTTGTGAATGCTGTGTGTCTGCTGGCCATCTCTTTCCACAGCTTCCTGCCTTCCTTCCATAATGATTTAATATTTTTTGACCATAGATACTTTAAAGTGTATCTAGGTAAAACCATATTCTTAGTTTTTGGACAGATTGTGAAAGAGTTCAACCCTCTGTCGCACCGCTTCGAAAGTAGTTGCACAGATATCTATGAAGTTGCACCTGAAGTCGCACTGCCATCCAACTTTGAAATTGTGCAACTTCAAGTGAAGTTGCACAATTTCTAAGTTGGATCCAGTGTGAACCGGGACTTAGAGTGCATCTTGTTTATAGTTTGTATTGTTGTCTCTGTGTCCCCATTGGGGGGATTTTCCCCTCTATTTATACTGGTGACAACTGTCAACAAGAAAGAAAATAAGGAGAAATCCAACATAATAGAGTTGTCCCGAGAGCAAGAGGTAAGTGTAAATCTTGGTAAATCATAAATTTAAATTAGTGTAGCGCTAAAAATGCACAAACTATTATAATCACTTATATTGTCACTTTGTGATAAATACTATAATCTTCTCAGTGTTCTTAAATATCACTTACTACATATATATATATTCCAAATCCCCAAAATCAATATAAACTCCTATTGCATTAAATGAAATAAACATATAAATAATGTGATAGTGCCGCTTCAAAACAATATAAATCAATATCATGTGATGGTGCCACTTCAACTTCATACAACGTCCAAATCCAAACGAATCTATTCCAAGTGATATTTAAATACAGTCATGGCCGAAATTGTTGGCACCCTTGATATTTTTCCTGAAAATCAAGTATTTCACACAAAAAAGGTATTGCATTAACACATGTTTTGCTATACACATGTTTATTCCCTTTGTATGTATTGGAACAAATATAAAACAGAGGCAGAAAAGCAAATATGACATAATGTCACACAAAACCCCAAAAATGGGCTGGACAAAAGTATTGGCACCCTTAACTTAATATTTGGTTGCACACCCTTTGGAAAACATAACTGAAATCAGTCGCTTCCTATAACCATCAATAAGCTTCTGACACCTCTCACCCGGAATTTTGGACCACTCTTCCTTTGCAAACAGCTCCAGGTCTCTCTTATTGGAAGGACACCTTTTCCCAACAGCAATTTTAAGATCTCTCCACAGGTGTTCAATGGGATTTAGATCTGGGCTCATTGCTGGCCACTTCAGAACTCTCCAGCGCTTCTTTGCCATCCATTTCTGAGTGCTTTTTGACGTATGTTTGGGGTCATTGTCCTGCTGGAAGACCCAGGATCTTGGACGCAAACCCAGCTTTCTGACACTGGGCCCTACAGTGCGACCCAAAATCCTTTGGTAATCCTCAGATTTCATGATGCCTTGCACACAGTCAAGGCACCCAGTGCCAGAGGCAGCAAAACAACCCCAAAACATCATTGAACCTCCACCATATTTTACCGTAGGTACTGTGTTTTGTTCTTTGTAGGCCTCATTCCGTTTTCGGTAAACAGTAGAATGATGTGCTTTACCGAAAAGCTCTATCTTGGTCTCATCTGTCCACAAGACGTTTTCCCAGAAGGCTTTTGGCTTACTCAAGTACATTTTGGCAAACTGTAGTCTTGCTTTTTTATGTCTCTGTGTCAGCAGTGGGGTCCTCCTGGGTCTCCTGCCATAGCGTTTCATTTCATTTAAATGTCGACGGATAGTTCGCGCTGACACTGATGCTCCCTGAGCCTGCAGGACAGCTTGAATGTCTTTGGAACATGTTTGGGGCTGCTTATCCACCATCCGGACTATTCTGCGTTGCAATCTTTCATCAATTTTCCTCATCCGTCCACGACCAGGGAGATTAGCTACAGTGCCATGGGTTGCAAACTTCTTGATAATGTTGCGCACTGTGGACAAAGGCAAATCTAGTTCTCTGGAGATGGACTTGTAACCTTGAGATTGTTGATATTTTGCCACAATTTTGGTTCTCAGGTCCTCAGACAGTTCTCGTCTCCTCTTTCTGTTGTCCATGCTTAGTGTGGCACAGACAGACACACAATGCAAAGGTTAAGTGAACGTCTCTCCTTTTTATCTGCTTTCAGGTGTGATTTCTATATTGCCCACACCTGTTACTTGCCCCAGGTGAGTTTACAGGAGCATCACATGCTTGTAACATTCTTATTTATCCGCAGTTGTGAAAGGGTGCCAATACTTTTGTCCAGCCCATTTTTGGAGGTTTGTGTGACATTATGTCGAATTTGCTTTCTTTCCTCCCTTTTTTTGTTTTGTCCCAATACACACAAAGGGAATAAACATGTGTATAGCAAAACATGTGTTAATGCAATACGTTTCGTGAGAAATACATGATTTCCTGGAGAAATATCAAGGGTGCCAACAATTTCGGCCATGACTGTACATGCAATGTGTCTTTATATATCAAGTGCCACTCGTGAATAAACCACACTCTATCCACTTCAGCTGCAATGCCCGCTCACCTCCTTTCAGTGACCCCTAACGGCCCACAAGCCTTTAGGATCACTTTGGATCCTCAAGAATCCTGGTTTGGTACCTCTCAGATATTCTTCCTATTTGGCCTCCTCCACACCTCCACTGCTGTGCCTCATAGGATCCTCACCAGCGATTCTCTTCAAACTCTCTCTCACAAATAGTGAGTCAAAAAACAGAGATCCTCCATAGTGTAGTATTTCCAATAACCAGGGTTTAATTGTAGTAGTAACAAAAGGTAACTTACATGTGTTTGTACAGCGATTCTTCTGTCCCTATATGGGCAAACTGCACACATGTATTTGAGCTTCCTGATAACCAGGAAAATGGCGTCCCGCACCGGAAGTGCGACACTTCGGATACCGGAAGTTACGTCTTAGCGTGCCTACGCGTTACGTCACGTGGTCTCGTGACTTCCTCGTGTAAATCTTGTGTAAATCTTGGGGACACCTGTTCCTGGGACAATTAAATAGGGAATTCTCACTATGTGAGATTTCTTCTAACTTCCTCCAACTTTGTGTCTCTAGAACAGGAAGTGAAGGGAATATCCCCCAATGGTACACAGACAGCACAACAATAAACTGGCATTAGTTTTAAACCATTTCTTACTCTATCTAAACTCCCAAAAAATGGCAAACATTTCTGCTTTTTCATGGTTTTATATGGAAGCAAATGTCTTCATTTCACACCTTTAAGCTAAATACTATATAGGGAAGGAAATTTTTTTTTGGGTCACATTGGATGTAGGCAGGTTCACCAATGTCACAAAAAGTTCACACAATGTAGTAAACAGTATAGATTGCTGTGTTTTGGACCACAAACTATAATCATGAGCTCAGTTGGCTATGAACTGTGCTTCCAGAAGGTTTAAAAAGCTTATCCCTAGTCTCCATATATAACATGACTGCACCAATAATATACGAACGTAAACAGGTCTTAAACGAAAGAAAGTTGCAGGTGAATGTTTCATGGTATTATCCATATACATTTTTAAATAATTTTGTATGTTTTTTTAACAGAAAAAATATAAAGTTGAAACAGAAATTGAAAACTGGATACAGAAATATGATGCGGATATGGGAGAGAAACAAGTAAGATAAAAAGAAAACGTTATTATATAAGTGCAGAGTAATTGCCTTTTAGCCCACACCCACCCCGTATCCCAGTTATATGGAATCCTGAGGGGGAACCTTCGGGGTGAAACGTCCGTTTCTATTGAAGTGGGGAAAATATCTTGGTACCTCATTCTCTGAAGAAGATTGGAAAAAGTGTTTAATTTTCACCCATATACTTTCTATGCCTTTTTATTTCCAAGAAAATAGCTACAAGATTGTGTTCCTATGGTACCGTACCCCAGTCGACCTCCAATCTTTGTGTTCCACCACTTCCAGTTGGAGATGCCAAGAAACCAAGAGCTCCTACCTCTGTATTTGATGGAGCTGCCGTCTGATTTCACCATTCTGGCAGAATACATTTCTCTCCTACAACTCTATAGGGTTGGTTTACTAAAAGTGCAAAATCTGGTGCAGCTCTGCATAGAAACTAATCAGCTTCCAGGTTTGTTTGTCAAAGTGTAAAGTGGCTGTAAAGCTTGCTACTGCTAATATTGTTTTTCAATAGGCAAAATTAAGCTTACATTAATAGTGTGCTTTGTTTTTTTTAAGAATGCACTGCTGGGGCATGTACCTCATTATGAGAAATGACGTTGCTGCCAAACTTCTGCATTTTCATGTCAATGGAGCAGTGGCATAACGTCCCTACCCTTTAAAGGAAATGCACTTTCAATCAAGGCAGGAGCGGGGCATGGCTATGTACTGACTATTGAAGATATAGGCACGCTGTGCTCTTGCAGCAACACACCTGTATCTTCAGAGGGATGATGGCAGTATGTAAACTGACCACGCTTACATGAAATGGCTGCCATGCTACTGTGGTCAGTTTACTTGTAGGAGGAACAGCGCAGGCAGGATCAATCAGGCAGGTAATTTAGAACTTTGGCAGGAAGAGTTATGATATTAACATGACAGACCACGTTGAACTAATTTAACCACTTGCCGACCAGCCACTGTAGAAATACGGTGGCAGTCGGCACGGCTGGGCAAAAGCACGTTTTAAAACGTGCGTTTCCAAAACAGGTAGGGGGCGCGCGAGGCGCGCCGCCGCCCTACCTGCACCGCCGATCCCGGCCCGCGGGTGTCAGTCGCTGGGTCACGACCGGTCATTACCGGCCGTGTCCCGCCGATTAGCGGCAATCACTGACAGAGAGCAGGGCTGCAGTAGCTCTGCTTTCTGTCAGTTCCCTGACAGCTCTTGACACGCTGATCAGGAGAGAAGAGTTTATCTCTCCCGATCAGCATGTCCCCGTGCAATACACACCCCCCCGCCCCCTAGTAAAACACTCCCCTCACACAGTTAACCCTTTCAGTGAATAAAAAAGTTAACCCCTTCCTCCCCAGTGCCATTAGTACAGTGTCAGTGTTTTTTTTTGCACTGATCACTGTATTGGTGTCACTGGAGATGTCAGTGACCCCAAGTCAGTTCCCCCCCCAGTGTCTGAATGTCTGCCGAAGTCCTGCCATGCCATAATAAGTCGCTGATCACCGCCATTATTAGTATAAAAAAAATTAAAAATCCGAGTATCTTTCCCGCCATTTGTAAACGCTATAACTTTCATGTAAACCAATTAATTTACACATATTGGGGTTTTTTTTTTTAGCAAAGACATGTCGCAGAATGTATTTTGGCCGAAATGTATGACGAAATTTGATTTTTACATTTTTTTTACTGGACATGTTTTATAGCAAAAAGTCCAAAATATTGTTTTTTTTTTCTCAAAATTGTCAGCCTTTTTTTTTTTTTTTTTTAAAGCACAAAAAAAAAAAACGGACAGGCGATCAAATACCACCAAAAGAAAGCTCTATTTGTGTGAAAAAAGGACATAAATTTCATTTATGTACCATATTGTATGACCGTGCAATTGTCCGTTAAACTAGCGCAGCGCTGTATAGCAAAAAAATGGCGTAAATTGCAGTATCTATACCATAGTTTGTAGACGCTATAACTTTCACACAAAGCAATCAATATACACGTATTGGGATTTTTTGTTACCAAAAACATGTAGCAGAATACATTTTGGCCTAAATTTATAACTAACTTTGAGTTTACTATATATTTTTTATAGCTGAAAGTAAAAAATATTGTTTTTCTTCAAAATGTTTGGTCTTTTTTTGTTTATAGCGTGAAAAATAAAAAGCGCACAGGTGATCAAATACCACCAAAAGAAAGCTCTATTTGTGTGAAAAAAAGGACGTAAATTTCGTTTGGGTGCAGCATTGCATGACCGCACAATTATCAGTTGAATTAGTGCAGCGCTGAGTAGCAAAAAGAGGCCTGGTCATTAAGGGGGGTAAATCCTCAGGAGGGCAAGTGGTTTAACAGCCAGTGAACTTTCTTTTTGTGAGGTTTACAACTACTTTTATTGAACAAGCTGAAGTTAGAAGCTAATTGACTACCATGCAAGCTGCACCAGATTTTGCACTTTCCAGTTTTAGTAAATGAACCTCCATGTGTATTTCCGATGTCCACCCATCTCTTGCCATTGCCTTGCTGTCATTGATTCCTTGATCCATTTCCAAAATTAAAAAGGGTATATTACAGCACTGCCCACTAGCAATCTGGGTTGCTATTTCCCATCATTGGAATCTACTTCCCCCCACCTCTTGAAATGGGCCCAGATATAAAACAAGATCATGGCAATGGAAACTTTGGTGGCAGAAGATAGCCCTGATCCTGCACCACATGAGCTGTCGGGCCTATAGTGATTCAACCACTTTTCTAGCTTTAGTTGCAAAGTATTCAGTTCACTCCTCTTGAGACTTCATCCAGCTTTTTAAGAATCCCTTTTCCATCCCTTTTCTTCCCACTCAACTTTCTCATTGTTCATGTACCCCACACCTTAGAGAACCTTATGAGGTTCCTTCTTCTGATTTATGTACCTAACTCCTAGTTCTCCTAGCTATTTCCAGACACTGCTAAAAAGTAATTGTATATCCACAGTGTTATTTTGGTTTTAGATTGGCTGGGCAAATGTGTGATGTATACATATTTATGTATGTATGTACAGTAGCTTGAAAAGTGTTTTTTTTTTTTGTTTGTTTTTTTTAATAAAAAGTTATTTGACAAAAAAAAACAGCACAAGGGACAGTACTTACAGATTTAGGTGGATTCCTAAATCCTCCGAACCTTACCTCCTCCCGCCATAACAACCTTCCGTGCTGCAGGTGTTAATAAAGCCAAGGGACCTGTCATATGCACTCTTCGGGAGTTCTGGCTATGCCCGTCCTTTGCGCCCACCTCCTTCATTCATAGAAACTGTATTATAGCAGGAGGAGAAGAGAGACAGACCTTTCATTCATGCACCCGTTCTCCATTCATATTTTTTGGTTTTCATTCATGGAAGTTATAGTAAGGCTTTTATAAATTCTGTGAATATAACAGGTCCATCAGCTCTGATAACCTCTATGGTACCAGCAGATTATGTTATGGTGGCAGAGGTGGAGGTGGGATTCAGAGGAGGAATATTTCAACTAAATCTGCAGCCAGCAGCACAAGGGACACATTGCATTGATTGTAAGTCATGTCCCTTGTGGAGATCCTTAAAAATAATTTTTGAATAAACAATCCTCTATATTTCTCAATATCATCTCCTATCATATAAAGATCAATACAGTGGCTCAGGAAATTGGAGAGTTTGTTGCCACCCTCAGCTTTTACAGGAAAAAGTAAATTTTACATATAATTTGGGCAGCCTATATTTCCGAATGCAACATTTTTATACAAACCTTAATTATTAAACCTCCTAAAATCAAGCTTGGCCCCAACCTTTGAAACTATCCAAAGTTTTGTGTGTGTGTCTTTTTAGACACACACAAGAATGAACTATTGTCCATACAAAATCATAATATTATATATTTGATAAGGATTGGATTTTATATAATAATATGATTTTCTATGTACATGTTCATTCTTGTGTGTGCCTTAAAAGTCCCCCATAGTGTACTTTGGGTATTTTATATTTTGATTGGGATGATGGCACACCAAAGCAATGAATGATCCTCTATATTTGACCTCAACCCCTCACAACTCTCCATCCTCCCTATTGGTCCTTTAATATGATGGGCAACTTCAAGTTCGAATAGGCAGACTGTGAGGTGTAATGGACAAAATCAAGCTAAACGCTTGTAGGAAAAATCTGATGTTTGATGTGACTCAGCTACATATACTAATCATTTAAAATATTTTAAGAGGCCTGCTTAGGCTTTTGTCTAGACCTTAGTTGTATCTTATGCTCTGTTTCAGTTGTTTGGCTTGTGCCCTATAAAGCATTTATACCAGACAACTTTTACAAGCATCACACTATGTAGAGGTATAGAAATCAGAGAATAGTCAGCTAAGCAAGCATGATTTGTCTCTTATAATGTAACAGAAACAATTGAGTACTGTTGCTGATACGTTTGTTAATTTGCACTAACATACAATTTTCAGGACACGCTTTTGGGGTATCAAATTTCAAAATTGTATGTTAATGCAAATAAAAAAGTATCACGGACAGTACTCAATTGTTTCTGTCACAAGTGCAGTAATATGGCTACAATCACCTGAAGCAAAATAGAAGATCTCTTATAATGTCAAATTTAGCCCTAATTAGGGATACTTGGGCCACAAGTGTTTCCTTTTTGGGTACATAGGAAGGAGGAAGTTGCTCGGTTTCACTCTGTGGAGAATGGTTTAGTGCTAACTTGCCTTAACAGAGACATTAGAAATCTGACAATGCTCTTTAAACCTCTCCAACATTATGTATGTATGTTTGCTGCACTCCTAAACCAAAGTAAAATTCATATGTGTCTATAAATAAATAATCATAGTCTCAAATAACTCTCGTTTGTTTTTCAATATCAGACAGAGCTGGAAGAAATAGAATCTGTGTATGAAGAGGAAAAGGTTCAGTTGGCAGAGCTAAAGGAGAATCTGTCAGTCTTCGAGGTGGAGTATGTCCAGATTATGGAAGAAAGACATCAGGCCCAACTGAAGAAGGAAGCTGAAGAAAAGGATTTAGCCAACAGGAACCATGCAGCCACCATCATTCAGGCACACTGGAAAGGGTATCAAGTCCGTAAAGCAATGAAATCAAAGAAAAAGAAGAAAAAAAAGGGAAAGGGGAAGGGAGCTAGTGGTAAAGGGAAAGGCAAGAAAGGCAAAAAGTAGTGAAAAGTATTATACCATGAATGCTTCTCTTAAGTCTCAACTATGCTCTTTAATCTATACCAGTCCTCCGTTATAAAGCTTATTATACCGTATGTAGTTAATGTTTGCATCAAAATGTGTTTAAAGTGATTCTAAAGGCTGAATGTTTTTTACCTTCATGCATTCTATGGTTGATTTACTAAAACCGAAGAGTGTAAAATATGGTGCGGTTGTGCATGGTAGCCAATCAGCATCTGACTTCAGCTTGTTCAATTGAGCTTTGACAAAAACAAAAACTGGAAACTGATTGGTTTCTATGCAGAGGTGCACCAGATTTTGCACTCTCCAGTTTTAGTAAATCAATCCCACTGTGTCTTCCCGACCCCACGATCTGTGAGCTATTCTTTTGTATTTTTCCTATGGTTGTCAAAATGTACTATGTCATTCTATTGTTCCTGTTTGCATACCAATAAAAAAAAATTCAGAAAAAACAAAAACAATATCCACTATATCATTAAAAACAATAAATTTGTTGCAAATGATTATTAGTTTGCTTAGCACCCCCATTTCCCATGACATACACAAAGTAAGGGATACAAACAATGGTAGGTAACAGGGTTTGCAGGGGTTGGAGAGTGTCAAATGACTTGGTAATAGGAATTCCAGAGAGGATGGAATGCCTATAAAAAGTCCTAAAGAGTGGAGTAGAGGAGAAGTCAATCTACGTAGCAGATTTTATATTCTGGGCATGCTGTCATAAGGGTCAGGTATGGCTATTGTGCAGAGGGGACTCAAGCTTCTGTTCTTGTTGCTGTGTGGGGTTCCCATCATTACAAGCTAAGGCAAACAACACAAGGAATATAATTCACACTAATATCTACCTAAAAGTATGATAACATTTGAAAACGTATAATGCCTTTAACCCTTTCACTGCCAGGTCCGTACAGGGTACAGACCCACAGCACTGCTTCGAGCAGGCCAGGTTCGTTGTACGGACCTACATTCCTCCTCTGCTATAAGCTCATGGTCACCAGCACAGATCTCTGTGAATTGCTGGCTTCCCTCCACTGCAACTCCCTCTGGCAATTGCACACAATATATACTGTATATATAAAATTGTTTCTTTGTGGGCCCCCCCCCTTGCTTGGACCCCCCTTCAGTACCCCCCCCCCCCTCACTCACTGATCTCCGGCACCCCCCACCCACAGGCAGCTCTGCAAGCCAGCTTTCACTCCACCTCTAACACTGGCTGCACTGACAGATCATGATCAGGATGGAGAGCAGGGGAGCTGGTAAAACGTGTTTACCAGCCCTTTTCTTTCCTGAATGAACAAAGTGATCAATATGGATCACTCTGTTCATTCATCACTGGCACATAGTAAACTGTGCTTAGTATGTGTCAGTTTGTGAATGAATAGGATGGAGTTTCTATACACCCTCCTATCCTATTCATTACAGTGCAGCCCAAGTTACAGAGAAAGGGACTGTCTTCTGTCAAAAAAGAGACATTAGGGGTCTGTATAGACCCCTGGTGTTTCTCGAAAGCCCCCCCCCCCCTCCCCCTCCAAAAACATATGTAAAGATATTTAAAAAAAAATAAATTGTAAAAATAAAAAACCTAGTAAGGGTATATTTAGATTCTAAATCTCCCCTGCCGCTGAAACCTGTTCTGCATTATGATCGCGCTCCAGAGGCTACTGACAGGCAGTGAGGAAGCGATGCGATGCATCTTCACCACCTGTTTTAACCCCATTTTGCCGATAAATGCGTTGCAACTGCATGCATTGCATGCAGTTGCAGGGCCTTTGAGGCGCTTCCTCAGACTTGAATGTGCAGCGTTCAGAAGTCAGGTCAACTGTGCTGCGGGTGCGCAGCGAATCATCACAGCCGCAGCATTTAACCACTTACTGCACAATCATATACCTGGTACGTTATTGTGCTTCAAGTGGTTGTACTACTTTTTAGATCCAGCGGTCATCTCGTGACCTGACATCACTTCCGGTTTATCCATATGTCATCAGTGCCATTTTCAAATAATCAAAAGCATTTAAACCTCCAATCTTGGTGTTTTGAATGCTTTATAGGGCCGAGGAGGGATTTGGGGTCTTATAGACCCCAGATCCCTCCATCAAGAGTACCTGTCACATGCCTATTGCTGTCATAAGGGATGTTTATTATTGCGACAGCAATAAAAGTGATCAAAGACAAAAAAAATTTAAAGCAACAGTTTAAATAAAATAAATGAATTAAAAAATTTTTTTTAAAAAATGGTGAACGCACTTTGGTCCCGCGCACATGCAAACTTTCAGAAAATATATGGTTTAAGTGGTCTTTTACAAACTCTGAAAGCTGTAAGTGAAAAATGAAATCGTATCACACACAGCGTGCTGTATTAGACCACCTATAATTTTGGTGTTTATAGATCTGGTAAGAGGTTGTGTTTCTCTGGTGGTAGATTTCATATTTTCACTGGATGATTGAATTGATGGACACTTTGTTTTACTTTGTTTCATTTTCACTGGAGGATTGAGTTTATGGATGCTTTTGTTTCACGGACTAAAGCTGCAGTAGGTCTATGGATTTTTTATTGTTGTTATTTCCTACTCACAAATATTTTGTTGAGAATAATTTACAATTAGATTACATACAAACAATTATTTCAGTGGTTTTTGAACACTATAATTGTTTATTTATTTGTTTTTAGTGGAGGCAATTGATTGCACAGCGCAACAATCTTTGTTAATTAGGTATTACTACACATTTGATGTTTTTTTTTTAGTGCAGCTGTGAATTTATTGTTTATTTATCACTAAGCGCAGTGAATAGAGTCTTTTACAAACTCTGAAAGCTGTAATGGAAATATAAAGAAGCAATGGAAAAATTGCAAAAATGGTCCAGCCAGCTGATTTCAAAAGTGGAGAGCAGGGCCTGGCAGTCAAAGGGTTAAATGAATTTTGCATATTTTTTTTTATTTAAAGCATTATCAAAATCTCCACTCCCCTCCAAATTGAGTTTATGTTTTCGTTCATATTCCTCAGAGCAGAACCCAGCCCCATGCCATTTGTTTGACAGTCCCTTGCCTATTAGCACTTAGACTGGCCATTGCTATTTTTTAATATTCCATTCCCATTGACTTCATTAGGGTTGGGATTTGGCACCCAAGCTCTAGTAATCTTCACTGAACCTGCCTTGTAGAGAACATTGACTTCATCCATGCTTGCAGCAATTTTAAAGGTAAAAAGGGAAATGTGTATGTATTGCAGAGGTGTACTGCATTTGTTTTTGGTCTTCACCTCAACCCTGCAAAACATAGCACTACATACTGATTTTTTTTTCTCATGTGCCTTTGAGGTGACTACACGGGTGGCACACCAGATGGCTATATTGAAGTGGCCCCATGGGAAGACCTCTGGATTGCACTTCTCCTAAGTTATCGGAGGGCTTTGCTCAATTTGTTCTGTTTTCCTGGGCCCAATTTCGTGCCACAGGAAATCTACCACATAACCCTCATCCATGTGGTCGCACTCCCTGCCTGAGGCTGTTCCTGGTGAACGTGGACTCCTAACCGTCTGTGCCCCGGAGACCAAGAAGAGGTTTTTCAGAGCTAATGTGAGACTATTAGGCCCTTGCTCCCTGTAGCCTGATCCCAGATAGACTTGCACTATACAAAGTTTTAATGTTATCTTTCCAAATTGGAGGTCTTAGTACCTCAATTTTTTCTTTGCTCTTCCTCTCGTACCATGGGAGGAGTGGGGATGACACACCAGTGTTGCTGGGGAACTGGCCAGACACATCTGACGGAAAATGTATTATTGGGGCACTGCCTCGTCTGCAGTTTATTCCACTGTGGTCCCCCCCTCCTCTTTTCCACGGTGCTGAGGTTAACTGAGCCCATGGGTAGGGCGCTGAGGGCATGTCGGGTCAGTGGCGATGGGCTTCACATGTCCGGAGCTGATGCCCTGATCTCGGGGGAGATGTTCGTTTTGTGTTCCCCGGGGGAACCCACCGCGGCTGACTGGTGGGGGCAGACTCTGCTGGGATCCAGTTGTTCATTGACGGGTTTGTGGAGGGTGGGCATTGACATCAGGGAAGTCTACTTTTTTGCCAATAACTGTTCCCGTTATCTGTTGGTTTGCTACCTATTGTTGGGCTCTGTACTTTACGTTTAGAATTATGAGATGACCTATATATGCCATGCCTTTTTATTTTGAACTTATGTATAGCATATTCACATCTCTGGGCCTCTCCTCCACTTAGGCCTGCGCTCACATACGTGGTAAGTTGGTTACGTGAGTGCCTTCTTGTAGCTCTTCCTTTTCTCTTTCGGTGGGGAAGTGGCAGACCCCCTCTGCCTCTGTTATTCGCCTTGGTGTGAGGTCTTCACACTTTCTCTATTTACCTCCTGTTGATTCTATTGCTATTATTTCTGTTTCCTCCCTTTGTTTTCTTCTTTCAAACTTTTTCATCCCCTTCTTCTTCACCCCCCTTCAAACCCCCCCCCCCCTTTTTTTTGTTCTCTCAGATTTTTCCTTCTCATTTTCCCCCGGAGGTTGGAATGGATGTAGTCACTGTTACCACCCCTAATGAGAAGGGGCTCAATGTCGCAGAGAAGCACAGGATATTGCTCCACGATCTGAAATGCTCTCATACAGACATTGCATTTAATCAGGAAACCCATTTTAAAGAAGAGAAAGCCCCAATACTTAGAAACAGATTTTATCATACCACTTATACTTTCAACTGGACGTCTAAATCCAGAGGTGTATCTATCGTGATATCTAAACGGCTACCTTGGCTGCTTCTTGACTCCAGGGCGGATGTGGAGGGACGATATTTGTTTCTCAAAGGTACGATTGGAGGAGTTAAGGTGACTTTGGCCACACTTTATGCTCCTAATAGTCAACAAGACCAATTTCTCTATACTACTATTGACACACTCATGTCCTTTAAAGAGGGTATTCTCCACTTGGGGGTGACTTTAATATGCCCTTGAACCCTACGCTCAACACTGCGACAGGGAG